TTTCTGCTCGCCAGAGGCTACCAGAATGTTAGTCTTTGGGCTTGAATGCAATGCTCTTAGGTATGAGTTTTTAAGTGCTATGCTAAAACTGAATTGCATTCTGGACCTAGATACTCTATTCCTCAATGAAATGTAAAAAGAACCATAGTTTTGGTGTTTGGGGGCGGGGGGAGAAGGGGAAGGAGTTGTGAGTGTGTTTGCTATACATACTTCACTGTCTCCTAACAAGAAGGCTATTCTATTCAAATGTATTCAGAAGCCCCAAACGTCCATCAAACCAGAGGCAGTTTCTTTTCTTTTTAAATATACAGTAATACTGGTGTTTTATTTCTTCTCCAACCCACTCTTTGGTTTCTACAAAACCATTCTCTTTAGAAACTAAAATTTCAGTGTTGTAACAAAAATCTGCTGAGACAGGGTTTCTCCTACCACAAGGGTTCAGAGTTGCTGTTATCTGTGCCAATAACTCACCTTCTTCCCTCCCCCACATGCTTGAGGGTGGAGACTGACAGATAGTAAACGCCTTGGCAATGAATAAGTAACTTTTCCCCCTTATCTCTCAAATACTTAAGCTCATAAAAACGTCATCGTTGATTCTGTAAAAACATTTAAAAGAATTTATTGAAGTAGAATTCACATAACATAAAATTAACCATCTTAAAGTGAACAGTTCAGTGACATTTAGTACATTCATAATGTTGTACAACCGCCACTTCTGTCTAGTTCAAAACATTTCCATTACTTCAAAGTAAAATCCCTTTCGTTAAGTAGTTTCTCCCTATTCCTCCCTCCCACTAGCCCCTGATAACTACCAATGTGCATTCTGTTTCTGGAATGGTCTATTCTGGTTACTTCATATAAACAGAATCATACAATATGTAGCCTTTTGAGTCTGGCTTCCCTCAGGTAGTTTTTGAGGTTCATCTGCAATAAAGACTGTATCAGTACTTGATTCCTTTTTATGGCTGAATAATATTCGGCTATATATGTACACCACAGTTTTATATCCAGTCATCTGTTGATATACACTTAGGTGGTTTCCCTTCTTGGCTGTTTTGAATAGTGCCACAATCAACAGGCATCCACAAGTGTGTTATTGAGTACCTGTTTTTAATTTGGGGGGATACATACCAAGAAGTAGAATTGCCAGGTCGTGTGGTAATTCTTATTTTAACTTTTTTTGAGGAAGCGTCAAACTTTTCTGTAGAGGCTGAGCCATTTGACAGTCCCATCACTGATGTCTGAGGGTTCCTATTTCTCCATAGCCTTACCAATATTTGCCATTTTTAAAATGATAGCTCATCTTTGGCTCTGAATGCTGATTTCTACCTGTTTCTCAAATCTGATGATCCTCCTTTTGGTAATTCCCTGTGATTAGTTCTGTAATTAAACCAGATAGCCACAGGTTATTTTTGTTCTCTTACTGAGCCTTCCTCCTCTCTAACCTTGTAGCTCCCAAGGAAGCCTTTATCAACTTAAGCTATTTTCCATTCCTCTTCATGCTAAGTTTTTATATTCCTTTCACTAATCTCCTTGCCTCCTTCCCACAATAATACCAGATAATTTCCTGATTAACTGACAGCCCATATACATAATGCTAGGCCACAACCCTTAGCTCAAGGTGCTTTGAAGGTGGAAGTAGTTAGTGGTGGTAGGTGGTGGTGAGAGATGAATAGGGACTGAATGATATCTCTCAAGGGTGGGGACCATGTCTAATTCATGTTTTTATCTCTAACTCCTAGAGCAGTTTGCTATCATTAAAGATCTCTGAAAATTTAAAAAAAGATCTCTGGAAATTTAAGACTCTTAGGGGTGACAGTGGTACAATTTTCCCCTCTAGTAATCTCTTACATACACTGACATTTAAAACGTTTGCTCCAATTTGTCTCACTCTGTTAGTCAACGTTAGAGATTCAAAATGTTTACTAGGGATAAGTGGATCCAAGGAAGTCTCTTTTGCTGATAGCTAAATGCCTACAGGTACTGATGAATGTCGTGTTCTGGGGCTATATTCATGGCACACCTAGAGATAACATTCCATATTTCATAGTGAGTCCTATGTGGCTAAAGATGATCTGATATGCCCACATAGTGGAAGTACTAGAAAACTGGTCTGCAGTGTGTGTTTGTGGAAATGTGGCTGTAATCACTAAATTCTTTTGTCTTTACCAGAAATAAATGCCACTTCTCAAGTACACCTAAAGAGATGTCATCATATTAGAAGTAATTGGAGATGACAATGAAATTTTAGTCTTAAGAAAATTTTGGGATTGTTCTTAAAGATGATATAAAATTGGATTTCTTTACAGGTGCCAAAGACCGTTCTGAGATCTACGAAGCATTTGAAAACATCTATCCCATTCTAAAGGGTTTTAAAAAAGCCTAAGTATATCACTCAACATCTCAAAGTATATTGATGAGTATGTGCATAAGTCCAGGACAGAAACAACTGGATTTTTCTACCTTTAATTGTAGATGTTCCATGCACATTTTGACTTATTAAAAGGTGATTCTATGTGAAATGAAGAAAGCTTCTTATTTGAAATGACTCTTGTATGTTATTTTTAAAACAAGTAAACTTATTTCAGAATGTGAGAGATTTAAGGCCTTGCTAGAATGATTTTGTACCATCATTAAAATGTAATGTTCTGCTCTGGTTAAAGATGTAGAGCATAACATGTCCTCTGAAAATGCATGGTGATATATAGAAATTTCAAATAACTGCATAAAATAGATACTATCTGTAATATCTAGCAGGAGAGAAATCAATGTGTCTGTTTTGGGCCTTTTAAAATATTGATTAAATGATCCTAGCTAACAGGTACAGGCACTGTGAAGGATCCTGTCAGAATACAAATGAAACATGAAAGTCTGAAACCTTGAGGAAAATCACATTTTTTTGTTTGAAATGATCAGAGAAAATTCTCTCACTTAAAAGTAAATCTTGCCGGGACCGGTTTGGCTCAGTGGATAGAGCGTCGGCCTGCGGACTGAAAGGTCCCGGGTTCGATTCCGGTCAAGGGCATGTACCTTGGTTGTGGGCACTTCCCCAGTGGGGGGTGTGCAGGAGGCGGCTGATCGATACTTCTCTCTCATCGATGTTTCTAACTATCTCTCTCCTTTCCTCTCTGTAGAAAATCAATAAAATATATTTAAAAAAAAAAAAAAGTAAATCTTAAACTTTCAGGAACTATTTAGATTTAGTGTAAGCTCTATTTTGAAACAGCATGGGGTATTTTTGCTTTTTGTGTGTCTTTATAATCCTACTAGAGGCCTACTGCATGACATTCATACACTGGGGGGAAGGGGTCCCTCAGCCCAGCCTGCACCCTCTCACAGTCCAGAACCCCCTGAGGGATGTCCACCTGACGGCTAAGGGAAGTGGGCCTAAGCCAGCAGGCAAACATCCCCCAAGGGGTTCTTAGCACTGCTGCCGAGGCAGGAGAGGCTCCTGCCACCGCCGCTGCCCTCACCAGCCATGAGCCCGGTTTCTGGCTGAGTGGCGCTCCCCCTGTAGAAGCTCACTGACCACCAGGGGGCAGCTCCTGCATTGAGCATCCGCCCCTTGGTGGTCAGTGCATGTCACAGCAACTGGTCGTTCCACCATTCGGTCGATTTGCATATTAGGGTTTTATTATATAGGATTGTGTTAAAACAGATCAGATAAGACTAAGAGGATGGAGCAAAGGGTTTAGATTCAAGACCTAATTAGTTTGTGGAGTCATCAGCATTTGATGGAGATGTGGAGGTTAACAGGGAGGGAAAAGGCTAACATGACTCATAGCCCCAAGAGGTAGTGATTATGTCTTTCCCAAGAGGAGGAAACAGATTTGTGAGGAGAGCGAGCTGGTGGCTATGGTACATCATTGCTGCCTAGCAGGCAGTTATGAACCTCTAGGTGTGGAACTTGGGAGGGAAGTCCCTGCTAACGAGAGAATTTAGGGCAGTTATCAGTTGACAACCTCCCAAAATAATCCTTGGGAATCACTGGTCTAGACAATTTGACCTCTAAGCCCACTTTTCTTTTTTCCTTCTGTGGCTTAGGAGCATATTCAAACACTAATTACTCTGTTAACAATCTTATGACCCACCTTATTTACCCCTCCCTGAAAAAGAAACTGGGAGTAATCCTATTTAGGTTATTTTCTATCTAGTTCAAATTCTTTCTCAGAGCATGGCCCAGACAGAGTGGGTAGGGGAGGAATGTTGGCCATTACTTTAAAATGATCTTTTCAGAAAGATACAAAGGTGACTTCTACGTTCAGTCGTGTGGCTGTTTCCACTGGCTAGTTATTTGTAAAATATTCTCAGATTATTAAATGTTCGCTTAGTAATTCTCACGATGCTGGTTAGGCAGGTACTTCTCCATTAAGCAGATGAGAACACAAGCCAAGAGAGGTTTGGAATCTGCCCCAAATCACACAGCCATTAAGGAAGTGGGTGAGCCACAATGAGACCTCATTCCAAGACCCAGCCCCTTCACCAACCTTGTTTGGGGTCGTTTTAGCCAAATTTTAAAGCATCAAGCGATTTAAGGAAGTCCCTTATTTTGTTCCCAATCCGTTTTCCCAGACTCCTTGGGGCATCGTATGACTGACTATTTCTGGCACAGTTAGAGACGTAAATCTGTGGCCTTGGCACGATCCCGCGAGGATGACATTTTGTTGGCCGACTCGCCCCTCTAACAGAGAACTTCTGCTTCGGGACACGCCGCCCCTCCGCGGACGGGAAAGGCAACGGCGCCCCGCGCTCCGGAGGCGGGGCCAGGGCCTCGCCGGGACCCCCGCCCGCGCTCCTGGCACCTCCCAGGCCCCGCCCCCTCGCCCAGGATGCATCTGGTTGAAAACAAAATCCCACGTGACTGGC